ATCAAAAGCCTGTTTTGGCTGGCAGTTGATATTGTTCCACTGCTAAGGAACAATTTAAGCTTCTTGCCTTTTTGTGTAAAATGTACACAAATAAATAATGGCACATGTTAAAGAGAAATATTAATTTTAAAAACTATATATAAATGAATTGGGATGGCAAGATACAGAAGGCCAGAAAGACTTATCTATTGTAGTAGTCTAAATGGGAGGTAATTATGGTGTAAACTAGGTCGAGGACAGTGAAAATAAAAAAGAAGTCTGAATATGAAAGATTTTGAAGGGAGAATTAATTGACAAGCCCTTGTGATGTGGACAAGGTAGGGGGAGAAAGACAGGAAGAAATAAAAAAACTACAGTTCTAACCTGGGCATTTGGAGATGCCATTAGTAAAAATAAATAAATAAATAATAAGAGTCAGAGGAGGAACTATTTTGGGGGGGTGGACATGTTGAACTTGTCACAAAAGTGAGCCAGTTTTCAAGTAGTTGGTAATTTGGTTTTAGGGTTCACAAGATTTTGATTTATTAGACCAGAAGTGATGGTCGACATTTTGACAGAGAAGGAGATGAGGACACCATGGTAAGTAATGTAGAAAAGAGCAAGAAGGTCTCATTTAAACTTTAGGGAATGCTCACTTTTTAAAAAGAAGATTTTATTTATTTATTTTTAGAGAGGGGGAAGGGATGGAGAAAGAGAGGGAGAGAGGAATATCAGTGTGTGGTTGCCTCTCATGCACCCCATGTTGGGGACCTAGCCTGAAACCCAGGCATGTGCCCTGACTGGGAATTGAACCAGCGACCCTTTGGTTTGCAGGCTGTCACTCAGTCCACTGAGCTGCACCATTCAGGGCCCCACTTTTATTTTTTAAGTGATTTTATTTATTTACTTTTAGAAAATGGGGAAGGGAGTAAGAAAGAGAGGAAGAGAAACATCGATGTGTGAGAGAAACATGGGTCTGTTACCTCTTGCACACCCCCAGTTGGGGACCTGATCTGCAATCCAGTCATGTGCCTTGAACAGGAATCAAACCAGTGACCTTTCGGTTTGTGGGAGCCTGCACAATCCACTGAACCGCAGGGCATTGATTGCCCACTTTTAATAAAACAGCAAAGGAAACAGAAAATGAACTGTCAGCAATAAGAGACCTACTGTTCATTTGTCATTCTTTCATTTTATTCATTATCTCATTTTCTTATTAATTCACCTAACAAATCCAGGATTGCATAGTATGAGGGCAGCAGCCAGTGTTAGGTACTGCAGAAAAGTAAGAAGAATGCTGCCTATGAAAAAGCCAGTAGGTTTTGAAATCAGATTTCTTAAAAAATAAAGAGATAAAAGAAATTAGTAGATTTCTTTAGAAAGTGAATGATAAAGTTAAAAGTGTGGTGGTAGAGTAAGGAGAAGTACCATGTTCTGAAGGAACTGATTGTAAGCAAGGAGAGGCTTTATTGATTTTAGAAAGAGATGAAGGGAGGGAGGGGGCAAGAGAGAAAGAGGAATATTAAGAAACATCCACATTAAGGAACATCCACATGGGAAACAATTAGTTGCCTTTCGTACGCACCCTGACCAGAAACTAAACTGCAACCTAGATATGTGCCATGACCAGGAATTGAAATGGCAACCATTTGGTGTATGGGACAATGCTCCAACCAACTGAACCACCCAGCCAAGGCCAAATGTAGTTTCTTAAGTAAATTACAGCAAAATGCTATATATAATAACAGAAATTAGGAATGTCAGCAACTTTCCTGGTTAAATCTTTTGATATCTCATTGTAATGCACTTTGACTTCCTAATGTGTGGGATACTTTTGCCTTTAATCACTAGTAAAGGGGCAAGTTACTGTTCCTTCACTAGAAACTGAGATACTCTTCATGGTTTTTCCATTTGAATCATTGATTAGTTGAACACAGTCATTCTTTGTTGACCTTCTAAAATGTTACTCTGTTCCTTGCAATAGGCTCCATTATTTGCCTTAAGTTAAACTTTGTATTTTTAAAATAATTGTAAAATTCAAATGTTTCTCTAATCATGTAGCTAAATTGTACTGACATATCACTTATTCTATGAGGGCTATTCTTTTTTTTTTTTTTTTTAATAATTAGAAGACTTATTCCTGGTACCTTATAACTTTCTGCTATCCTGAGGTCCCCAAACCAAAATTTACTTTTCTCCTTCTAGGCATAGCAGTTCACCCAGTAAGGGAACTCATTCATTGCATGGTTTTGAAAACTTGGTAGTACTCTCATGTGTCTTTTGCATTAAATTTCAGCCACTGTGTGAAGTAGGTATTGTGCCACCATTTTGTAGACCCAGAAAACCATTTTACAGACTCGGGGCACCTAAGTAGTTTGGAATTTTACAAATTAGTACAATGAGGAAATTGAACCCATATCTTCTAACTCTAAGTCTAGCCCTAATACTGCCATTCTAGTCCTCTTTGTATAATATCGCAATTATTCCTAATCACTTACTCCATACAACAACTTGACATTATATTGTATTTTGAGCTCTCGTTTTCATAAAAATGTATTTAAGTTTTATTCCATTTTATTTTGTCATCATATCTATACTTTTTTTATAGCTGTCTTTTTTTTTTTAATTTGAGATTGCCTATATCACCTGGCATGATATCATTATCAGCTTAGTAATTTTAGTTATGATTTTGCATTGAATCATTAATATCTCATATAGTACAAATAATTTTTACATAATTTTAAATTCTTTTTTATTTTATTCAGTTTGAAAATATAACTTAAAACTTAGAGAAGTTGTAAGAAATGGTACAAAGAATTCCCATATACTCTTCAGCCAACCCTACGTATTGTTAACATTTTGCTATATTGGTTTGCTTTCCCATTTTCTCTCTCTCTCTTCATATATGTGTATAAACACACATACCCCATATGTGTTTATACCCCATACAAATATATATACATTTGTAAATTTTTTTCTTCTGAACCATTTGTGAGTTATAGACATTATACTCTTTTACCCCTAAATACTTCAGTATTGCTTCAGAAATTCTTATTCTTCTTTTAAATAGGTTGTTAGAGCCATGTGGATAGAACTCTTAATTTATTTTCTCATATATCTTCAGTAGATGACATTGGAAAAGAATTATATTGTTTGGTGCTAGACCTGTAACTTAAGTGAAATATTTTGTCAATCACTATTTCTTTGGATCATTTGTTATTGTCTCCCTTGGCTTTGTTCTTTTTGGCTCTCATGTCTAGTTTCTGACACACCTAGAGCAAGTGTCAGAGTTTATTATTGCCTTACCCTGCATAATACTGCCATTCAGAGCCTGAGAATCTTCTTTTTCTGCCCCTGCCTTTTTTCCCTTTGCTCCCTAAACTCAGGGGTGTGTACATAGGGCAGGCTGAGTTTCAGTAAGCTCCTAATGTGGACACTGGAAACCCCACCTGCCTGCCAAGTCCTTTTGGCTGTAAGCAAAGTGGAGGCTTGGTACTTATCATTCCTTTACAGCAGTGGAGCTGCAGGAATGCTGCTCGGCTTGTTGGAAGTTGCTTAGCGGCCTAAAGTGAGGTGTGTGTGAGGGTGTGTATGTAGGTTTGAGGGTCTTGTGTGGGAGACCTGAAATCCTTCCTGGTGCCATGCAGTATTTAATTGAGTACCTTCTTGTGACTAGCAGTGATAGGAGCTTTTGGAATAGTATAATAAAATACATAATTAAATGCAGTATTATAGGCAAACAGTTCTAGCTCTGCCACTTACCAGCTTTGATTTGGGCAAGTTAATGTCTTTAAGCCTCACTTTACTTTCTGTGAAATGGAACTATCAATTTCTACATGATAGAGCTGTTGTAAAGATTGAATAAAGACTGTTAGTATTTCATTTCATACATATTTAGGATTTATGACTGACATCATATAAAACAAATAGAGAATAATATGACTCTATAGTGTATAATCAAATACTTAAATTGTGACTTGTAAATTATAAATAGTCTGGGAATTTAGAAAAGAGAAAGAACAGTTTTATGCAACCATTTAATGTTCCTGTGCCTCAATTTTTCTAAGGGACACACTGGAAATGCTAGGTGATATCCCAGAGAATGATTAAGATATTATAGCAGTTTTACCTTTTGAGGTGATCTGCGTGATGGTGGAAAGGAAGGAAGAAGCTTGGGGAACTGTTAGAAACCAAATTTGACATTCCTAATTTTTTCCTTATGTGGGCATGGCAGTCTTATAGGAAAATTTGAAGCTGGAGATTAGAAGCATTACCTTCCAAGGAAGTTGCTTGCTTTGGTGTTTCTCTCTGTTGTCTCACTTGCATTTTATTAGTTGAGAATTAATGTTATTCATTGGATGGCCTCTGATTGTGGGCTCCTTGGATATAATCTAAGGATTAAGTGATTTGTAGCCCAAATTATCTCTCTCATCTTCTGGCAAAAAAATATAACACACAAACAAACGGGGCTAAAGAAGATTTAGTTCTCTTGAACTAGTGTTAAGGACATATGGTTTACTTACATGAGTATTTCTCTGGGATGGGACATCTTTCCTCAAAACAGAGTCCAGATTGGTAACTTGGCCCTCTCACCTTTAAATAGGCTTTTATAGCCATGACTATGTAAAATACCTTACAATTTTTTTTTTTTACTTACAATATCCAAAAGAAACTGTTTTAATTTCTCATTTGGTGTGTACTTATACACTTGGTAATTTTTTTTTGTTAGCCTGGTTTTGGACGTCTGTATTTCGTTTTTATTTTTGTCTAGATCAACTCTCTTCTCCTTCTAGAAAATTTCAGAGAAGTTTCCTATGAAAAGAAAGCTGCTCATACCTTTTTTTTTCCCTCTTTGGTTTCTTGTTTTTGTTGTTGTTAGTTTTTTTTTTCTTGGCATTGTTTGCCAAGGTTTCAAGTTTATAGTGAGAGGTGAGGCAACGTTGATCTTGGCAGAACAGCACAAAGCCAGTAGAGTCATTAAGTGACGTAAGTTTTTGATTTTTTTTTCCCTTCTGTTAAAGCTCTCTGGCACAGCTGGCTATTCAAGTCACAGAGGAAGAGAGGAGAAGAGACTTACTGAAGTTCTGGGTGGAATGATAGAAGATGTTTGGAGCATTATAAAAAACAGCAGCAGCAACAGCAAATAATATAATTCAAACAAACTTCTTTTCTTTGTGGAATCTATGTCAGTGGCTTAGAACTTGAATTTTTACTTCAGGGAATAATGGGACAAGGCAATAAAAGGAGGCGAGGAGGGTTACATTGGATTCTTGCTTATCTGTCTGCCTCTCCTTCCAGTTGGAAAAATCTTCAATCCACGAGAAGCGTTATTAACAAGCCAAAGGAACACATCCTACCTACCTTGATCCTGGATACAGTTGGAGTTGAGGATTACAGCCACTTCACCAGGATTTTTTGAAAGCAGTTCAAGAAAAATAGAAGGAAATAATACTCAAGGATATCTCTGTTTGTATTTGTCCTGTGCCATTTTAAATTTTGAGCATTGTTTGGAGCAAGTTGAGGACAGCTCCGTCATGTGGATCTAAGAGGATACCTGCATTCCTTGAGCTACATATATGATGTTTGGAAGGTTGTAAACTCAAAATCTTTCAACATATATTAATTAAATTCTGGATTCTCTTTCTATTAAGGACTTCAGCAGACAGAAACTCCCTCTCCAAAAGATACAAAATCTCCTCTGTGTTTTCAGGCTAAATGTAAACAATAATGTCTTGGAAGAAAAATTATTTTTCAGGGGGCCGTGGTAGTGTCCAAGGGATGTTTGCACCTCGAAGCTCAACCTCTATAGCCCCCAGCAAAGGCCTCAGCAATGAGCCAGGACAGAACAGTTGCTTCCTCAATAGTGCCTTGCAGGTAAGGGCAATTTCTTTCTTTTTGGTGAACTTGGACTTTTAGTTGCTGGTGCTGTATTTCTGATAACTCTTTTAAATATAATACTTGACATTCTCTGCTTGAGGTCAGCAACCTAAGATAATTTCTGGGTTTATCTGTGTGATCTTAGGCAAGTCAATTTTATTTCTTTGAGTTTCAATTACCTACCTCATTGGTAAAAAAAAGGGGGATTAATATGATAGTGAAATAATAACTGTAACTACTACTACGAACCTGCCTAAAGGGGAAGTACATGATGATCTTACTACTTGTTTATTAACTTTTTTCCTGAACAGTCTCTTTTGCTTTCTTTTTTCCCCTTTTGACACCAAGGTGTCTTATCCTAATTGCTTTTCTCTAGTATAGAAAGCAAAATTCTTTCCACAAGTCAAAGACTTTCTAGTCTTATAGTATTATTCTTTTCTCATAATATTCAGGCTTTAGAATTTTTTAAATTGATTTTTTTAGGAGAGAGAGGAAGGGCAGGGGGTAGAGACAGAGGGAGAGAGGAGAGAGAAATATCAATTTGTTGTTCCATTTATTTATGCATTCATCGATTGATTCTTGTATGTGCCCTTACTGGGGATTGAACCTGCAACTTTAGCAAATTGGGATGATGCTCTAACCAGCTGAGCTACCCGGCCAGGGCTTATTATTCAGACTTACAGCACACACACCGAATAGAGTCCAGTCTTAGTCTACTTCTTTATCTCTTTCCTCTGAATTCACATATTGTAGCTCATCATTGGTGTCTGGTCAAATACGCTTGAATAGAGCTAGTGGAAAGTAAATTTTCCTAAGGTGAGTATCTATTGTACTTTAGAGTTTCCCTTTTGGTGTTTCTTGCCACCTTGGTGGTCTCAGGATCCCAAAGCTTCCCATCTGTCTGCCTGATCTGCCTAGACAGGCCCATAGAGTGTTAGGTTCCTACTCCTTGGCCTAACTTTCAAGCAGTCCTTTTCCTCTTTTTTATGCTTTTCACATAAAAGCAAATGAAATTTTCCACTCAAGATAATTATACTTTGGTTAAAAATTAGTTGTATACCTCATATTTAATGAGAGAATAAGTTGCTAATGAGAGAAGAAAAGACAGTGATATAAAAAGCATTGGATTTAGGTCTGGCTGGTATGGCTCAGTGGATTGAGCTCTGGCCTGCAAAGCAAAGGGTTGCTGGTTCGATTCCCAGTCAGGGCACATGCCTGGGTTGCGGGCCAAGTCCCCAGTGGGGGGCATGTGACAGGAAATCACATATTGATGTTTCTCTCCCTCTCTCTCCCCCTTCCCCTCTGTCTAAGAATAAATAAAAAAATAATTTTAAAAAATTGGATTTAGGAATTAGGAGACCTGAATTCTACTTTTTGTACATTAGTCTTGTGACCTTGTACAGGTAATAGTATTTCAGTTTTTTCATTCATAATATAAGAATCTAATCAAGCATATTTATGTAATTAAAATTTCATGCTTTCACTGTCCAAATTTTTATTAGACAGCATTAAAAAATCCTGTGTTGTGAAGCCTATAGTAAAAGTCTAAGTGCTTTCACTAATTACTACCACAAATTTCATTCAATTGGGTGAGGTTGGTTAGGTTTTTTCCCCCAGGTAATACAAACTAGGTTTTTGAGTGATTTTGCAAAAACTAACAATGCTTTTGTAATGTAGAAGCAGGCAAAAGGGTGTTGATATATGTGTTTACCTCCTTCAATTTAAACAGTATTTATGAGTTTCTGTTCTAATTTCCATTGCTATATGGAACACATACTATATACACACACATGCATATTTCTATATCCATACTTAAGGATTGTGTCATTGATGGTTTTGGAGTACTATAATCATGTTACAAGTTGAAAATAATTGTTTCTATGAGCTAATATTCTCACTTTTGATATGAGTTCTTTTCTATGTAGCTTAATGCAATGTAAAGATGCTTTTACTTTAAAAAATTTCTTTATTAAAAATTTTCCCTTTTTTAAAAGATTTTATTTATTTATTTTATAGAGAGGGGAAGGGAGGAAGACAGAGAGGGAGAGAAACATCAGTGTGTGCCTGCCTCTAGTGTGCCCCCCATTGGGTACCCAGCCCACAAACCAGGCATGTGCCCTGACTGGGAATGGAACAAGTGACCCTTTGGTTCACTGGCTGGCGCTCAATCCACTGAGCCACAACAGCCAGGACAAAAATTTTCCTTTTTATTGAATTTATTGGAGTGACACCGGTTAACAAAATTATATAGGTTTCACATGCACAATTCAAGAACACATCATCTATACACTGTATTGTGTGTTCACTACCCCAAGTCATGTCTCTATCACCATTTATCCTCTTTACACCCTCCACTCTCCCCTACCTCTCTCCATTTTCCCCTGCCCCCTGCAGTAACCACACTGCTGTCTGTGTCCATGAGTTTCTTCTTCCTTTTTTGTTTTTGTTTAATTCCTCTACTTCTCCCAGCACTGCCACCCCTTCCTACCACAACAGCTCTCAGCCTGCTCTCTATTTATGATTCTGTCACTATTTTTCATATTAGTTCATTTTTCGTATTAGTTCATTAGATTCCACATATAAGTGAAATCATATGGTATTTGTTTTTTTCTGACTGGCTTATTTCACTTAGCATAATGCTGTCTAGGTCCGTCCATGCTGTTGCAAAGGGTAAGATTTCCTTTTTTATGGCTGGATAGTATTCCATTTTCCGAATGTACCATAGCTTTTTTTATCCACTCATCTACTGATGGACACTTGGGCTACAATAGCCAAATCTTGGCTATTGTAAATAATACTGTAGTAAACATAGGGGTGCATATTAGTAGTTTGGGTTCCTTCAGATACATACCCAGAAGTGGAAATGCTGGGTCATAAGGCAGTTTAAAAAACTTTTTTTAGCCTCAACTGATGACATGCTTATTGACTTTAGAGAGAGGGGTAGGGAGGGAGAAAGAAGGAGAGGAACATTGATGCAAGAGAGAAACATCGATTGGTTGCCTCAGTTGCCTCTGTTCCTGCACTGACTGGGACCAAACCTGCAACCTAGGCATTTACCTTTGAGTGGAAATTGAACCTACAGCTTTCCAGTTTATAGGACAGTGCTCAACCAACTGAGCTACACCAGCCAGGGCCATTTTTTATTTTTTGAGGTAATTCCATACTTCTTTCCGCAATGGCTGCCCTAATCTGCATACCTTCCAACAAGGGCACGAGAATTCCCTTTTTTATGCATCTTTGCCAAGACTTGTTATTTGTTGATTTATTGATGATAGCCATTCTGAAAGATGTGAGGTGATAATCTCATTGTGGTTTTAATTTGCATCTCTCTGATGATTAGTGATGTTGAGCATCTTTTCACAGGTCTGTTGGGCCATCTGTGTGTCCTCTCTGGAGAAGTGTCTATTCAGGTCTTTGCCCATTTTTTAATTGGCTTTTTGATATTGAGTTTTATAAGTTCCTTATTAATTTTGGTTATTAATCCCTTATAAGATGTATAATTGATAAATATATTCTCCCATTCAGTGGGTTTTCTTTTCATTTTGTTAATGGTTTTTAGTTTGATGTAGTCTTATTTTTTCTTTGTTTCTCTTGCCTGAGGAGATATATCAGAAAAAATATTGCAACAAGAAATGCCTGAGGTTTTACTGCCTGTTTTCTTCTAGGATTTTTATGGTTTGGAGTCTAACATTTAAGTCTTTAATCCATCTTGAGTTTATTCGTACAAATTGTGTAACAAGGTGGTCTAATTTCATTCTTTTGCACATATTTGTCCAATTTTTCCAACATCATTTATTGAGTAGGTTGTCTTTATCCCATTGTAAGTTCTTGCCTCTTTGGTCTAAATATCAATTGACCATACAGGTGTGGGTTTACTTCTGGACTCTCTATTCTGTTTCATTGATCTGTATGTCTTTTTTATGCCAGTACCATACTGTTTTGATGATTATGGCCTTCTAGTATAGTTTGGTATCAGGTAGTGTGATTCCTCCAACTTTGCACTTCTTTCTCAAGATTACTGTGGATATTTGGGGTCTTTTGTGGTTCCATGTATTTTGAAAATATTTGTTCTAGTTCTATGAAATACTACATTGGTATCTTGATAGGAATTGTGTTGAATCTATAGATTCCTTTGAGTAGTATGGACATTTTAATGATGTTAATTCTTTCTGTCCATGAACATGGTATATGCTTCTACTTATTTGTATCTTCTTCAATTCTTTCTTCAGTGTGTTATAATTTTCTGAGTACAGGTCTTATACATCCTTGATTAGATTTATTTCTAGTTATTTTGGGGTGTTTTTTTTTTTGGCGCAATTATAAATAGGATTGTTTTCTTAGTTTCCCTTTCTGGTAGTTCATTATTGGTATACAAAAATGCAACCAATTTCTGGATATTTATTTTTTATTCCTGCTACTTAACTGAATTCATTGATCAGTTCCAGTAGTTTTTTGGTGGAATCTGTTGGGTTCTCTATATGTAGTATCATGTCATCTGCAAATAAGAACAGTTTTACTTTTTCCTGTCCAATTTGGATGCCTTTTATTTATTTCTTTTTCTTGTCTGATTATTATGGCTTGGACTTCCAGTACTATGTTGAATAAGAGTGATGAAAGTGGACATCCCTGTCTTGTTCCTGATCTTATGGGAAATACTTGTGGTTTTTGCCCATTGAGTATGACGTTAATAACCCATACCCCAGTTTAATCATGAGGAAACATCAATTTTCTATAGTGGGACATCCTGTGAAATACTTAATTAATATTCCTCAAAATTGTCATGAACATTAAAAACAAGGAAGTTTTGCCCAGTCTGGTGTAGCTCAGTGGATTGAGCATGGGCTGTGAACCAAAGGGTCGCCGGTTCAATTCCGAGTCAGGGCACATGCTGGGTAGTGGGCCAGGTCCCCAGTAGGGGGCATGTGAGAGGCACCCACACATTGATATATCTCTTCCTCTCTTTCTCCTTCCTTTCTCCTCTCTCTAAAAATAAATAAATAAAATCTTTTCAAAATATATAAACAAGGAAATTTTGAGAAACTGTCACAACCAAGAAGAGCCTAAGGAAACCTGGCAAATAAATGGCTGTGGCTGGCGTGGCTCAATAGATTGAGCACTGGTCTGTGAACCAAAAGGTTGTGGTTCGATTCCCCATCAAGGCACATGCCTAGGTTGTGGGCCAGGTCCCCAGTTGAGGGTGTGTGAGAAGCAACTGATTGATGTTTCTCTCCCACATCAATGTTTCTCTCCCTCTCTTTCTCCCTCCCTTTTTCTCTCTCTAGAGATAAAAATAAAATAAAATATTTAGAAAAATGACTATCCAGGAATGGAAAAAGACACTAGGTAAAAACTAAAGCAATCTGAATAAACTATGGACTTCAGTTAAAAAAGAAATGGCATAGCATGTTTCAAAAAACTTTAACAATATATAATTTGAGACAACTAAATAAGAAAAACCAGAGGTATTGTGTAATCTGGGGCTCCAGAAGTGTAGTGCCTTTTCATATATGGTACCATTTAAATGTTTTCCAGGCAAGAGGAGCTTCCTAAAGTATTATGCTATGTATTATACCATTCCTTTTTTAACTGAAGTCCATAGTTTATTCAGGGATTTTTATTCAGGGATTTGTTTACCTAGTGTTGTTTTTCATTCCCAAACCCCATTTATGCTTCTTGTTTCTGTAGGCCCCTCTTGGCTATGATAGCTTTTAACAATTTCCTTATTTTTGATGATCTTGACAATTTTGAGGAGTACTAATCAAGTATTTAATAGGATGTCCCACTGTTGGAACTTGTCTAATGGTTTCCTCATGATTAAACTGGAGTTATGAGTTTTTAAGAGGAAGACCATAAAAGGGAAATGACATTTTCATCATTTCATATTAAGGTTACATACTATGAACATGATTTATCAGTGTTGATATCACCTTTATGTTTTATTTTTATTTTTAAAATATTTTATTTATTTATTTTTAGACAGGGGAGGGGAAGGAGAAAGAGAGGGAGAGAAACATCAATGTGTAGTTGTCTCTTGCGCATCCCCTACTGGGGACCTGGCTTGCAACCCAGGCATGTGCCCTGATTGGGAATCAAACCTGTGATCCTTAGGTTCACAAGCCAGCACTCAATCCACTGAACCACACCAGGTGGCCCTCACCTTTATTTTTAATTTGTTGACTTAAGGTGGTTATAACTTCCTCCAAAAATTGAGAAATCTAATAAAGACAAAATTCCACACTATCATTCAAGCTTCTAAATAAAGTTTTTTAAACTATTCTTGCTTTTTGGTGGACCATTAAAATAAACCCTTATCCTGCAGCTATTAACCTATAAATATTTTCTTTAGGATCACATATGATGTTCTGTCCTATCACATTTTCTCTGAGTGACCTTCCTTCATGTTCAAATTCCAGAAATTATTCTTTTCCAGAATATGGTTGTCTTTCCTTCTTGTTAGATACCTCCTCACCATTTTGGACATTTAATATACTAGAATGAGCTTTTTTCTTGGGAATAAAGATATCTTCTGCAATCATTACCTATGTTTGCTTGAACCCTTGAATTTAAAATTAAATAGTGGCTTTTTGTAGAGTAATGTATTTTCCATTTTTTGCCAGGTTTTATGGCACTTGGACATCTTCCGACGTAGCTTCAGGCAGCTTACAACTCACAAGTGCATGGGAGATTCCTGCATCTTTTGTGCTCTTAAGGTAAGTACTTCACGTTTGTTTCTCACTACCATTAGGTTGTCAAATGATTGATATTGAGGTTTTTGATTAATTCAGGTGGTACTAAAGAATTTATTACTGAATTATCTGCTTGTGGTTTATAGTGCAAAGGGTAAATATGATTAGTTTTTTTGATGCTTTTGCCCACACAGCTTTATTTAAGGCAGGGGTGTCAAACTCATTTTCACCAGGGGCCACATCAGCCTAGCGGTTGCCTTCAAAGGGCCAAAACAATTTTAGGACTGTATATATGTAACTACTCCTTAACTGTTAAGGAGTTGAAATTACATTCGGCCCTTTGAAGGCAAACACAAGGCTGATGTGGCCCCTGGTGAAAATGAGTTTGACACTCCTGATTTAAGGTGATAGGATACTTACTATTCAAATGTGCTTAGACTTTGAGTATTTAACTGCAAAGCTAATTCTGAATTTCCATTATGAAAGCATAAACAACCCAAGTTTACTTAATGGAATTAACTATTATCTCTTAAAGCTAAATTTATCAACAAATTCTTCCTATTAAGAAAAGCCAGTATTAGGCCCTGGTTGGTGTAGCTCAGTTGGTTGGAGTATCATCCCATAAACTGAAGAAAAGCCAGTGTTACAATTTTCTCATTCTGTCATATTTCCCATTATCACATTTAATAGATTCTTTACACCAGTATTCTACCCCATCTTCTGAGTCCAAGTTTTTAATTTTGAATAAAATGAAACTAGGGATTCATTTAGAGACAAAGAAAATAGGATAAAGTGAAAGATTTCTGACTTGGAGATTTTAGGTATACTGCTAAAAAAGGAAGAAATAATATATATAAGGGGCTGAGTTGCTGTTACTTTATTTCTTTTCTATCATGTAGCTTCTCTGTGTTTTCTTGGTCTAAATATATAATATATTGTTTGTAGTTGGATGAATCTGCTTGAGTTCTGAGTAAACTTCCAGAGCCAATTTTCTGTCTCCTAAACTCTGAATTCTTGGTTTGTCACAGGGATGCTTGGATGTGATGATTATATGTTTAGTTGCTTTTACATCTCAGAGTAGGAATTGTGACCAAAAAAATTCAGGAGAATTTCCTAGTAATATTGGTTATTTGCAACAACTCACTCAAAATGATTTTTTTGACCAGCATGAGTTTTAAATTTTAAGTCAATGATAGATATCTTTAAAAAGAAATAACTGAGCCTTCTGAACTTTTTGTTACTTGGATCACAAACATCTTTTTACTCCACTTTTTGTTTGGAACCATTGTAACTTTTAGGAAAATAAATAATATAAATTATTGGTTAATTAGTCATATAACAATGAAACTTTAATAAAACCAAATTTTTTACAAATTGTAAAATTTCTTACTATTCAGACATAGTCTATCCAAAAGAGCATTGTGGGTTGATCTTCTGAAAGGTACATTGACATTAAATATCTAATTTTAGATAAAAAAGAAATACAGTGGTCCTTTTGTCAGCAAGTCAATGGGAAGTCCAGTTCATGCCATTAAAATTAAAAGATGAAGGTAAGGCAGTTGCTAGAGGTTTGAATTCTGAAGAACTCCTTGGTAGAAGAATCTCCTAAAACTAGAAACTCTTATCTGTACCAGAAAGGAATAATAAGAACTTATATGACCCTCTCACATAACTTTGATTAGTCAGGTCTATACCATACTCTTCATTGACCCTGGTGAGAATTGGGAAAACTGGCTGTCATAATCTTATTGTTTCATTTTCCAGAGGGACAAATTATTGTGCTAATATAAATTATTATGATTATATAATCCAGAGAGATGAAGAAAACCAACCACCAGACTTTATGAGATACCTTCTGAGATATTCAAGGACAGAAAGGAAGTTGTTTTCAACCTATAGGGGCTGAGGATATGTATTGAGAGTCTTTCAGTTCATAGGCCAGCGCTCAATCCACTGAGCCACACCAGCCAGGGCTATTGGGAGTCTTTCAGAGGAGCAATTGCTTATGATAGATGGTTTGTACATACTTAATGTTGTAGATGGCATTGTTTGCATTCTTTAAATTATTGTACACTTAATTTGAGATTTTAAAAAAAGATTTTATTTATTTACTTTCAGAGAGGGAAGGGAGGGAGAAAGAGAGAGAGAGAGAGAGAAACATCAATGTGCGGTTGCTGGAGGCCGTGGCCTGCAACCCAGGCATGTGCCCTGACTGGGAATCGAACCTGCGATGCTTTGGTTCACAGCCCATGCTCAATCCACTGAGCTACGCCAGCCAGACTAATTTGAGATTTTTAAATAGATTTATAATGCAGAAGAATTACTTTGACAGTATGGATGAGCTGAACTTGGTTCTAATGACTGAGAATTTTTATTTATTTATTTTTAATTTAATCTTTATTGTAATTTTTCCATTATCATTTAGTCCCCTTTTATTCCCTCCCCCCAGTAGTCACCATACTGTTTGTCCATGTCCATGAGTCCTTTTTCCCTTTTGCTCAATCTGTCCACCCCCTAACTCCCTCCACTAGCTGTCATCTGCAACTGAAAAATTTTAATTGTTAGAATAGCTATAGTTTTAAAGAGATAGTCCTTTATGCAAACTAGAGAGATTAATTTCCTGAGAGAACAGAAGGGATGATGAGTATATGGAAGAATTACCCTCGGATGGATAATCAGTACCTGGTCCCTCCTATAGAATGTATCTTTTATTACTTACTTTAAAAATATTTTTATAGAACATGACAATAATATAATCTATCATTAAACAAGGTTCCAGTCAGTACAATAAGATAAGAAAAACAAAGGAAAGATAAATATTAGAAAGAAAATTGCCATTACTTGCAGATGATGTGATTGGCTATTTAAAAAAATTTTGCCCTAGCTGGTGTGGCTCAGTGGATTGAGTGCTCTGTGAATCAAGGGATTGTCCATTTGATTCCCAGTCAGGGCACATTGCCTGGGTTGTGGGCCGGTCTGGTTGGGGGATGGGGGAGGCATACAATCGATGTATCACTCACACATTGATGTTTCTTTCCCTCTCTTTCTCTCTCCCTCTCTCTCTCTCTAAAAATAAATAAATAAAATCTTAAACCCTCAAAGAATCTACTGATAAATCATGAGAATCAATAAGAGAATTTAGCAGGTTGTTGTTTATAAGATCAAGGTATACCATTCATTTATATTTCTATATACTGGCAACTAACAGAAAATGTAATTTAAAAAGAAGTGTTTTTTTTTTAAGATTTTATTTATTTTTTTTTAGAGAGGGAAGGGAGGGAGAAAGAGAGAGAGAGAAACATCAATGTGCGGTTGCTGGGGGCCGTGGCCTACAACCCGGGCATGTGCCCTGACTGGGAATCGAACCTGTGACACTTTGGTTCGCAGCCCGCGCTCAATCCACTGATTGAGCCAGCCAGGGCTTAAAAAGAAGTTTTATAATACCAACAAAAGATATAAAGCATATATGCATAAATCTAACAGAAAAGATACATGACATAAAACCCCAACAGAGATCCAGTATACTACTACTACTACTACTAATAATAATAATAATAATGGGAACATTCTTTGAACAACTATTTAGGTCAAAGTAGAATATTGACACTGTGGCTGGTGTGGCTCAGTTGGTTGGAACGTCATCCTGTAAACTAAAAGTTTGTGGGTTCAATTCTCCATCAGGGCATGCACCTAAGTAGTGGATTCGTTCCCCAGGGGGGTGTATATGAGAGGCAACCAATTGCTGTTTCTATCTCTCTCTTTTCCCCTGTCTCAAATCAATAAGCATGTCCTCAAGTGAGGATTAAAAAAGGTAGAATATTGTCAGTGCTGTAGACATTCACCCTTCCTTCTTTCTCAGTCACCTTACTCTTTCTTCAGGGGAACTACTTCCCTAATGTTTGTGGTAATCACCTCCTAGTTTTATCTGGTAGTTGTAATATTGGTGTGTCTATTCTTAAACAATTTCATTTAAAAAATACCTGTTTTTGAAAGTTTATTATAAACAGAACCATTCTTTATAAATTTATGTGCATATATCTTCTTAGTGTTAGTTCAGCAGTGTTAATAAGCAGTGTTAAAACCAGTGTTAATAAGTTGTGTGCAGGTTGAGTTTGTTCATTTTCATTATTATATGGTATTTCATTGTACAAAATAAACCACTGTTTGTTTATTCATTCTACTGCTGGTAGTCATTTGGATTATTTCCAGTTTTTGATTTTTTGTGGACATTGCCAAGAACATTCTTGTACATGTCTACAAATGTGTATACTTTTTTTTGCATACATGCCTGGGAATGGGATTACTGGATCATGGATTATGTATATCTTCAATTTTTTAGGTAATTGTACACTCTGACCAGCAGGTTTTTCCTGGAAGTTAAGAAAATTCAATTCTGAAATTCATAAGACAAACAGTGAAGAATAAGACACTCTTGAAGAATAATAACAAAATGATCAACTTTCCTTGTGTATCAGAGAAGGCTAAGTTATTTTGTGGTAACAAACTAAAATCACAGTGTTAAACATGCAAAAATATTTTTCATCACCTTACTTGTCTACTGCAGATTAGTAGGAAAACACTATAGCTTATAGTCCCTCAGGAACTCAGGTGCCAAAATTACACCAAGGTGAATATTATTGTACTAGTTGCTAAACCAAAGGGAAAAAGAGCTCTGGAGGGTTTTGCACAGGCAGTTTTGCTCAGCACATTACTTTTCTGGTCACCACTTGTTGACCAGAGCTAATCATGTGGCTCTGACAAGGGAGCCAGAAAGTATGATTTTCTTATCATCCTTGAGAGAAGAAGGAACCAGAAGTACTTGGCAAGCAGTACTAATGACTACCATACTTTACCAGATATGAAAACTTATAAAACTGTAGTCATTAAGAAAATGTGGTATCAACACAGTGTGACTAATAGGCCAATCGAACAAAATCCATTGTTTTAGGAACCGACATAATGGAAACTTGCTCTCAGCTCCGTGATTCCAAGAAGAAAGTGGACTTTTCAATGAATGGAGATTA